AGGTGAAACCCAGCAACAAGAAATTGAAGCAAAGATACTTGTGGATAAAGAAAGCATTAGCTAGTTTGGTTAGAGCATAATAATTAGATTTTCTGGCTTACAAAAATTTGGGTTGCAGTAAGAGCAAAGTTTATGCTATTTTTACAGTTTTCAGTCCAAAAAGGTGTTACTATAGAAACAATAAAGTTGACATTTGATTACCTTTTAAAAAAAAAAAAAAAAAAATTCAGGTGTGGGGGTGGGCACCTGTAATCCCAGCTACTCAGAAGGATGAGGTGAGAGGATCACTTCAGCCTGGGAGGCAGAGGTTGCAATGAGCTGAGATTGTGCCATTGTACTCCAGCCTGGTGCCAGACTAAGACCTTATCTTGGAGGGAAAAAAAATTAAAGTAGCCAGCCTGGGCAACATGGTGAGATCCTATCTCTATAAATAAATAAATAGCAGCAGGGCACAGTCTAGCCTGTAGTTCCAGCTAGTAGGGAGGCTGAGGAAGGAGGATCTCTTGAGCCTGGAAGGTTTAGGCTGCAGTGAACTATGATTGCACCACTGCATTCCAGCCTGGGTGACAGAGCAAGTCTGAAAAAAATAAAATATGCACTGTAATCCCCACCACACCCCCATTTTGTCGTTGAGAATCTCCAATTTGGAGACGTTAAATAACGTGGCAGTGGTGGGACAGGAATTCCAACCCCAGGCTTTCTGACAGCCCACAGTTTAAAGTAGACAGAAGTCCGAGTTTTTTAAACCCAGATCTTTTAAGCACCAATCAAGCAGCTCTGAGATTGTCAGTAAACCTCTCTGAGCCCGTTCTCTGAAGGAAAAGCAAAGATGATCAGATTCTTTGCCTCAAGTACCTTTCTGATTGTTAAATATGACAGCACATGTGAAGGCCTTTATGAACCATCTCTGACCTTTCTGGTACACTCTGGAAGCAGGCAGGGACAGTAAGCTCACCAAACAGTCACTCAATAGATACCTGTCCAATGCATGAAATTCTGATGTTTGAATCTTCAAAAGTGCATTATTATCATTAAATCAGATGTTTGTTTTATTTCTCATGGCTCAAAGGTCAGTTCTTTTAAGACGGAGGAGGCAGTAGCTACTTTTTAAAATGTCACTTTGACTGAGCGCTGTCAAGTAATTTTCCTTGGCGTATCTTTTCTGTGAAGGGCTGTTTAATGGGAGTTTCCATGAATTCGTGAAACAAGACAGCCAAGGGGAAATTTCTCTCTTATAGTCATTTTATGCTATTGGATTTAAAAAGCCCCACAGTGGCTGGGCAGGCCTGTAATCCCAGTACTTTGGGAGGCTGCAGTGGAAGAATCACTTGAGCCCAGGAGTTTGAGATCAGCCTAGGCAACACAGCAACATCTCTCTCTCTACAAAATAATAATAATTATTATCAGCAGTCGAGCATGGTGGTATATGCCTGTAGAACCAACTACTCAGGAGAGTGAAGTGGGAGGATTGTTTGAGTCGCGGAGTTTGAGGCTGCAGTGAACTGTGATCCTACCAGTGCACTCTAGCCAGGGCAAGAAAGCAAGACCCGACCTCAAAAACAAAACAAAACAAAACCATAAAGTGTGATCCCTTACAATTTTTAGTGATATCGAAGATTGGGTCTGAGTGTGGTTTACTCCTGCATGAGCCTCAAGATTTAATAATTTTTGGCTGGGTGGAGTGGCTCATGGCTGTAATCCCAGCACTTTCGGAGGCCAAGGTACATGGAACACCTGAGGTCAGGAGTTTGAGACCAGCCTGACCAACATGGTAAAACCCTGTCACAACTAAAATTACAAAAATTGGCCGGCGTGGTGGTGCACACCTGTGCACACCAGCTACTTGGGAGGCTGAGACAGAATTGCTTGAACCCAGGAGGCAGAGGTTGCAGTGAACCAAGATTGCACCACTGCACTCCAGCCTCGGCTACAGAGAGAGACTCCATCTCAAAAAAAAAAAAAAGAAGATTTACTAATTTCAAAGTGCATCAGCCCAAGCAGATAGTCTAAAGTAGATCTGGCCCAAGATCTATGAATAAAGAACATCATTCCTGACCACAAGCATGCCCAGCTCCAACTCTTGCACAAAACCACCTTTGTTTCACTCATAATGGCCCCCACGATGGACCTCACACTTCTCCCGATACTAGACTGCATTGTATAGTAACCTGCAATGCTCTTTCCTTCATCACCGGTTTCCAACTCTGATGTCACGATTTGGTTCATGACATTCCTGATAGATTCTCTGTATCTATCAGGAAGGGTCCTAAAACTCTCAATAAAAGCAGTTCAGTTTCTAAAAAAAAATGAAACACACTGGCCAGGGGTGGTGGTTCATGCCTGTAATCCCAGCACTTTTGGGAGGCTTAGGCAGGTGGATCATCTGAGGTCAGGAGTTCAAGACCAGCCTAGCCAACATGGTGAAACTTCACTTCTACTAAAAGTATAAATAAGGCTGGGCACAGTGGCTTATGCCTGTAATCCCAGCACTTTGGGAGGCCGAGGTGGGTGGATGACCTGAAGTCAGAAGTTCAAGACCAGCCTGACTAACACGGAGAAACTCCCATCTCTACTAAAAATACAAAAATTAGCTGGGCACGGTGGTAGTGCCTGTAATCCCAGCTACTTGGGAGGCTGAGGCATGAGAATCACTTGAACCTGCCTGGGAGGTGGAGGTTGTAGTGAGAGATCGCACCATTGCACTCTAGCCTCGGCGACAAGAGCGAGACTCCATTTCAATAAAAAACAAAAACAAACACAGTCCTACCACATGATCCAGAAAATCCTTCTTAGGATTTGCCCAAAAGAGTTGAAAACTTTTACCCATAAAAAACCTGCACATTAAGTTTATAACAGCTTTACTCATTATCGTCAAAACTTAGAAGCAGGCAAGATGTCCCTAGGCAGGTGAATGGATAAATAACAATGGAATATTACTCAGTGCTAAAAGGAAATGAGCTATCAAGACATGAAAAGACGAAGAAAAAGTACAGCTGGTGGCTCATGCCTGTAATCCCAGCACTTTGGGAGGCTGAGGCAGGTGGAGCAGCTGAGGTCAGGAGTTTGAGACCAGCCTGGCCAACATGGTGAAATCCTGTCTCTACTGAAAATACAAAAATTAACCAGATTTGGTGGTGGGCACCTGTAATCCCAGCTACTTCAGAGGCTGAGGCAGGAGAATCGCTTGAACCAGGAAGGCAGAGGTTGCAGTGCGCCGAGATCGTGCCATTGCACTCCAGCCTGGCCAACAGAGTGAGACTCTGTCTCAAAGGGAAAAAAAAAAAAAGACATAAAGGAAACTTAAATGCCTGTTATTAAGTGAAAGATGCCAGTTTGAAAAGGCCATATACTGTATGGTTCCAACTATACAACATTCTGGAAGAGGCCGGGAAAGGTAGAGCAGAGAGGATTTTTCCGGGCAATGAAACTCTGCATGATACAGGCTGGAGTAATCTCAGTACTTTGGGAGGCCAGGATGGGCAGATCACTTGAACTCAGGAGTTCGAGACCAGCCTGGACAACGCAATGAGATTCCAACTCTGCAAAAAATACAAAAATTTACCAGGTGTGGTGGCACGTGCCTACAGTCTCAGCTATTTGGGGAGGCTGAGGCAGGAGGATCATTTGAGCCTGGGAGGCAGAGGTTGCAGTGAGCCCAGATCACACCACTGTACTGTAGCCTGGGTGCTAGGGTGAGACTGTATCTTAAAAATAAATAGATGCATTTTGACTTATTTTTAACTCCTGGTAATTTTATTGAGACATAACCCCGTAAGTCAAAGAACATCTCTACAATCAAGAGTGAACCCCAATGTAACTGTGGACTTTGTGTGATGATAATGTGTCAAAATAGGTCCACCCATTGGAATAAATGTGCCACTCCGAGGCCAGATGTTGATAGTGGGAGAAGTTATATATGCATGAGTGCAGCAGCAAACAGGAGCTCTGTAATTCTGGTCAAGTGAGCTGTGAACCTCAAACTGCTCTAAAGACAAAAGTCTGCTTTTATAAAGGTAGCTGGACTTTTTTTTTTTTAGACAAGAGTCTCACTTTGACACCCAGGCTGGAGTACAGTGGCGTGATCTCAGCTCACTGCAGCCTCCGCCTCCCAGGTTCGAGCAATTCTCCTGCCTCAGCCTCCCAGGTAGCTGGAACTACAGGCGCAAACCACCACACGCAGCTAATTTTTGTATTTTTAGTAGACACAGGGTTTCATCATATTGGTCAGGCTGGTCTCGAACTCTTGACCTCAGCTGATCAACCCACCTCTGCCTCCCAAAGTGCTGAGATTACAGGCGTGAGCCACCGCACCTGGCCAGTAGTCTTATTTCACTTTTATTTTAAAAAAATTCCTGAATACCATGCAATCCTCGAATTGTGGTTACCAAAAAATCAAATACCTAGTGGCTGGGAAGCATTGCCCCAAATGCCTTTAAAGGCATATTCTCACAAATGTTCATCTTTCATGTACACTTGCCTTTAAAAGAACACATCAAATTTTACATAATCACAAAGGTATGTGAGTGATATACAAATGTGTTCTTGCACATCATTATAAGGCTATTAGTTTGTTCTATGCAAACATATATGCTAAGCTTAAATTTATCTTCTTCAAAAGCCACCTCTGCTCCTGCTATGAGGTTTTAGATAGCCCAAGTTTCACAGTTCCTAAATCCCTCTCTGTTCCCATTCCCATCCTGTTTTTGTGTAAATAAGTTTTCTCCTAAAACTTCTCTAGCATCTCTAGAAGATAACTTCTCCTGACAATTCCAAGAAACCCATGAGCAAGGTACTTAACACGTTTATGAGAAAAGCTGGCTTGTCCTCTGCGCTTTTCCTTCCTTCCTATAAACATGTGCAGACACCAGGAAAGTCCCCCTGCCTCCACCCATCAACAGTGAAGCTTCTGAAGGTCCGGACAGAAGGCCGGCAGCCATCTCCAATCATTCTTCTGTTTTTGATGTATGTCTTCTGATGACAGAACAGTGATATGAACACCCTTTGCACAAAAGTAACTTATTTTTTTTTATTAAGTGATACACTGAAAGTATAAAAAATTGCCTCAGTACAAACAAGTTACAGAATAATGCATACCAAAGTGCTATGGACTACATGCGACAATTCTGTTTAGCTTCCATTTTGATGATTTTATGTCAGTATCCAAAATTATATCCTCTGGCATTTTTTCCTAATCTAGTCCTACATGATTACAATTCCTGAGGTAAACTGAGTGTTCATTGCCAACATCCTTGGATAACAACCAAGCCCCCTGGGAGAATTCAGATATTTATATTCCCACATACAATATGATGGAATTCATAATTGTAATCAGATATTACAGACTAAAAAATAGAAAATGGGCCCTTGTAATACTTCTGCATCTATTTGTAATTTTACCAACAGGGCCTCTTTAGATCTTGTGTAAGTATAGTTTAAAGTGATAAGTATAATTTAAATGGGTTTCATTAAGAATGTTTTGCATTTAGATAAAAATTGACTAATCTATGAGAGGTGAACACTGACTAGCATCACCAAATAGAAAATCCAAAGTCTGAACAATTTGCAAAGGAGCACAGAACTGACACCCTAAAGAGGACGCCAATTATGCCAACTACAGCTCTTACCACTCTTCCCCATGGAAAACCTTTAAGCTAAATGTTGTCAGTGTATAGGTGCCCAGGCAAAGTTTAATTCTGAATACACTATAGGACTTCTGCCAATCAGGAGCTGTCTACCACCACAGTCAGTTGTTTTCAATGAAATGAGCCTGTGGACACTACATTAAAAACTTTAATAAATATCAAAGTAGTGTATTAGATAGCACATTTGATTTTTTTATACCAAGAATAAAAATTGATATTTAATAAAAGTTTTGGAGCCCAAACAAGTAGGGGGCTGGCCCTCTCCTGGCTCACTGCTGACTGCACATCCTGGGCCACATGGAGGTTAAACAATGCCATCTTTGAAAAATCACTTTCTGGTATTTCTCCCAAAGCCTGTCTCTTCATGCTTACTTCATATTCTTTATCTAATAAAATAAACTCTTTGTATTATTTACAGCAAAATTGTTACAGCAAATTTATTTCCCTTCTACCTTTTAATTAAATCTTCTAGTAGATGCCAAAATAGTCTAAGAAAAGAAAAAGTACATTGTTGCCTATTGAAAAGGTAATACAAAGAAAGCCCTTTCATTTCCTTACAAACTTGAAGGGCCTTTATAATACTTCCTAAATGGCCAGGCTAGGCGGCTCACGCCTGTATTCCCAGCACTTTGGGAAGCCAAGAGAGGCAGATCACTTGAGGTCTGAAGTTCGAGACCCGCCTGGCCAATATGGTAAAACCCCATGTCTACTAAAAATACAAAAATTAGCCGGGTGTGGTGGCACAGGCCTGTTGTTCCAGGTACTTGCGGGAGGCTGAAGCAGAAGAATCGCTTGAATCCGGGAGGCAGAGGCTGCAGTGAGCCGAGATCGTGCCACTGCACTCCAGCCTGGGTGACACAGCGAGACTCCGTCTCAAAAACAAAAAATAAAACCAAAAAAAACCCCAATACTTCCTAAAAACAATATATATTTTTTTCAAGTGAAATCCAATAATCTAGATGACAGAGTTGGCTTTTATTCACAGACGTAGTTAAACATGAGGTGTGTTTTGTAGAAACTAAAATTTCTACAGACACTAGCAGTGCATTTTGGTAACACTTGGACAATAAATAAGTTATTTAATCCATATAATTTTAAGATAAAAGATACCCAAAATGAAGCATCATCTGTGTACTGCCTGAGAAACATGAAGATCTTCAATGTTAGCACTTTTCCGCTCCTCCTTTCTTAGGTGATCATCTGAAATGCACAGAAATCAATGTTAATACTTATCCCAAGTCAAAATAGGCAGATAGGTAGATACATCTACAAATACTTTAGGATGTTACATATTTAATATTCTGAGTTCTTTAGACGGTTTAGGATGATAAAAAAAAACTCATTATTTTTTTAAAACTATTGATGAAATGAGAGGCCTGGTGCAGTGCCTCACACCTGTAATACCTGCACTTTGGGAGGCCAAGGTGGGTGGATCACCAGAGGTCAAGAGTTTAAGACCAGCCTGGGCAACACAGTGAAACCCCCATTGCTACTAAAAATAAAAAAATTAGCCAGGCGTGGTGGCAGGCACCTATAATCCCAGCTACTTAGGAAGCTGAGGCGGGAGAACTGCATGAGCCTGGGAGGTGGAGGTTGCAGTGGGCCAAGATAGTGCCATTGCACTCCAGCTTGGGTGACAAGAGTGAAACTCTGCCTCAAAAAAAAAAAAAGAAAAGAAAAAGAAAAAAGAAATCAGAAATGTCTGGCACTAGAAACTCTAATTATTCAAAAGTGTTTCTTAACTTTTTTTTAAGTGGGTGGAGTGCAACCTGCAGTACACCCATGCATAAGTAGTTACAAACCTCTCTTTTACATGTAAGGAATGGAATTTCTAAGAAAGGACAAGGTGTTCAATCAGCATTTTGAGGGTTGCCAAAGCTCTTCAATTAAAACACAACGAAAAACACTTCAAATAGAAATAGGAAGTGTTGGCTCACACCTATAATCCCAGCACTTTGGGAGGTTAGGTGAGTGAATCGCCTGAGGTCAGGAGTTTGAGACCAGCCTGGCCAGCATGGTGAAACTCTGTCTCTACTAAAAATACAAAAATTAGCTGGGTGTGGTGGCGGCTGCCTATAATCCCTGCTACTTGGGAGGCTGAGGCAGGAGAATTGCTTGAACCCAGGAGGCAGAGGTTGCAGTAAGCCAAGATATTGCCATGGCACTCCAGCCTGGGTGACAGAGCCAGACTCTGTCTCAAAAAAAAAAAACAAAAAACAAAAAACCTAGAGACAGTATCCTAATGCAACAAAGATGTAATGCAAAAACTAGATTCCTGAGAATGTATGAGCCCCAAACACTTTCTACAACTGATAAAACATCTTTCTTATAACAATTTTGATAATAGGAAAAAAAGAATATAAATTTAGATAAGCTGCTAGAAAATGAAATTTTATCACCAGAACACCTACTGGATTTTCTAATTCTGCAATGTGATTATATACATGATTTATTAGTCCTCAGCAGCTTCTCAGTGCCAACACCACTTTAAAGGTCTGGATATCAGATGGAAATCTCTCTCCCTTTATTTTAGGTAACTTTGCTAGTCAGAAAAATATTAACAATTTCCTTAGAAGGCAACAATTTTAGGTCTTCTAGAAAAATGTTATAAAACATGAAGTCTATTATGCTTGACAGATGTGCAATAAAGTTGAGCTGATGACTGTCTCTATTATGAAAATCTGGTCTTTCACTTACAATAAAAATCTTAGCCAGGCATGTAGTCCCAGCTACTTGGGAGGCTGAAGTGGGACGATCACCTGAGCCTGTGACATCAAGGCTGCAATAAGCCATGATTGGGTCACTGCACTCCAGCCTGCGTGACAGAGTGAGACCCTTTCTCTTAAAAAACAAAACAAAAAAAATAGCAGGGCGCGGTGGCTCAAGCCTGTAATCCCAGCACTTTGGGAGGCTGAGGCAAGTGGATCACGAGGTGAAGAGATCGAGACCATCCTGGTCAACATGGTGAAACCCTGTCTCTACTAAAAATACAAAAAATTAGCTGGGCATGGTGGCGCATGCCTGTAATCCCAGCTACTCAGGAGGCTGAGGCAGGAGAATTGCCCGAACCCAGGAGGCAGAGGTTGCGGTGAGCCGAGATCGCGCCATTGCACTCCAGCCTAGGTAACAAGAGTGAAACTCCGTCCCAAATAAATAAATAAATAAATAAAT